CCAGATAGACTCAAACCTAGGAAAAACTCTCCCAGGTTGAGAAAATCCTAGAAACATTTAAACAGGTCAAGATCAACATCTCTCTTCTAGATGCAATCGAACAAATCCCCTCTTATGCAAAGTTCTTGAAGGACTTATGCACTAAGAAAAGAACCACCAATGTCCCCAAGAAAGTCTTCTTAGCTGCCAACCTCAATGAAACTTTTTTGAAACCAATGCCGTTAAAATATATCTGATTGTCCCATAATTCCATGCGTCATAGGTAACACTCACATTGATAAGGCACTTCTAGACTTGGGAGCCAGCGTCAACCTCCTTCCTTATTCAGTCTATGTAGGAGAACTTAAACCGATAAGATGCACTCTACAGTTAGCTGATAGATCTGTAAAAATTCCCAAAGGGGAGATTGAGGATGTTCTGATCAAAGTTGGAGAGTTCATTTTCCCTATTGATTTTATTGTCTTGGAAACGCAGCCTGTTTCTAATCTCAAAAGTCAAATCCCCGTCATTCTAGGAAGACCATTCTTAGCCACCTCAAATGCTTTGATCAATTGTAGAACCGGTCAAATGAAACTATCTTTTGGGAACATGACTGTTGACCTCAATATTTTCAACTTAGGAAGGCAACCTAGTGATTCATCTGATCAACCAATGGAAGTGAATTTCATTTAGGGAATATCAAGTGAACAACAAGAGAGAGAGTGTGAGTCAGATTCGAGTGCATCTGACTTAATGATTGAGGAGTTTTCTGATGATGAACTAGAGTTAGATCTGCTGGTCAATCATGTTTCTGCTGTTGGCTGGCAACGATAACCTTTGGAGATAGAACCCCGAGTCCAACTTCGCCCATCTGTAGAGGAACCCCCTAAGTTAGAGCTCAAACCTTTACCTGAAAATCTAGAGTATGCCTACTTAGGGGAGAACGAGTCTTTACCAGTTATCATTTCTTCTGATTTGACTACCGGTCAAAAGGAAGCTCTCTTAGATGTTTTAAGAGAAAATAGAGAAGCCATTGGATGGACCATGACTGATGTCAAAGGGATTAGTCCAACCATTGTTCAATACCGAATCCATTTGATAGATGATGCTAAACCTACTAGAGATCCTCAACGTCGGTTAAACCCAGTGATGAAAGAGGCTGTTAGGAAAGATATTTTGAAATATCTCGATCATGGGATCATTTATCTCATTTCTGATAGTTCATGGGTGATCCGGTCCAAGTTGTTCCAAAGAAATCTGGGATCACTGTGATCCAAAATGAGGCTAATGAGCTGATTCCCACTCGGATCCAAACTGGATGGCGAGTTTGCATTGACTACCGAAAACTCAACTTAGCCACTCGGAAAGATCACTTCCCTCTTCCATTCATTGACCAAATGTTAAAGCGTTTAGCAGGACATGAGTTCTAATGTTTTATGGATGAATATTAAGGTTACAATAAAATCCCTATCGCTTCTGAAGATCAGGAGAAAATCACCTTCACTTGCCCGTATGGAACATTCGCATACCGACGCATGCCTTTTGGGCTGTGTAATGCACCGGCCACATTCCAACGTTGCATGATCAGTATTTTTTCTGACATGGTAGAGAGATTTCTTAAAATTTTTATGGAAGACTTTTCCATTTTGGTAACATATTTTCCCAATATTTGCATCATCTTAAACTGGTCCTAGAACGGTGTAGGGAGAAAAATCTGACTCTTAATAGGGAGAAATGTCATTTCATGGTCAAACAAGGCATTGTCTTAGGACATGTAGTTTCCAATAGGGGAATCGAAGTGAACAAAGCTAAGGTAGATCTCATTTCTAATCTTCCTCCTCCTAAAACTGTCAAAGATGTCAGATCATTTCTTGGTCATGCTGGTTTTTACCGACGTTTCATCAAGGATTTCAGCAAAATTGCTAGACCCTTAACCAATCTCTTAGCCAAGGATACATCATTTGTCTTCTCTCCCGACTGCCTCAAAGCTTTTGAATATCTAAAAAAGGAGCTAATCACAGCTCTATCATTCATGCACTGGACTGGACCTTACCCTTCGAACTGATGTGTGATGCATCTGATTCTACGATTGGTGCTGTTTTAGAACAACGGTTTGATGAAAAACCGCATGTGATCTACTACGCCAGTAGTACTCTGAATGATGCCCAACAAAATTACTCTGTCACAGAAAAAGAGTTTTTAGCTGTAGTCTTTGCCTTTAAAAAATTCAGGTCCTACCTCATCGGTTCCTTAACCAAAGTTTTCACAGATCATGCCGCACTAAAGTATCTTTTAACCAAAAAAGATGCTAAAGCACGGCTCATTAGATGGATTCTCCTACTTCAAGAGTTTGACATCCAAATTCTTGACAGAAGGGGAACAGAGAACCCCGTAGCAGATCACCTCTCTCGACTCCCAAATGCACCAACATCAACCGTCCTGATCAACGAATATTTTCCAGATGAACAACTCCTAGAAATCCAATTTGTTCCATGGTTCGCCGACATTGTGAACTACATAGTCATGAACCAGATCCCTTCTCATTGGTCAAAACAGGATAGAACCCGTTTTCTCTCCCAAAGTAAAATACTTTTACTGGGATGATCCATATCTGTTCAAATACTATCCTGATCAGATCTTTAGGAGGTGTATTCCCACTAAAGAAACTAGGAGTGTTCTATCCTTTTGTCATGAGCAAGCATGTGGGGGCCACTTTGGCCCAAGAAAAACAGCTGAAAAAATTCTTCAATACGGGCTCTATTGGCCCACTCTCTTCAAGGATTCATTCGAGTTTTGCAAAACCTGTAACCGCTGTCAGCTTTTAGGAAATGTCACTAGAAAAAATATGATGCCCTTACAACCCATCTTATCCGTTGAACTTTTTGATCTGTGGGGTATTGATTTTATGGGACCATTTTCAAATTCCTTTGGAAATGTTTACATTCTAGTAGCCGTTGAATACATGCCAAAATGGGTTGAGGCGGTAGCTTGCAAAACTAATGACAACATACATTCTAGTAGCCGTTGAATACATGCCAAAATGGGTTGAGGCGGTAGCTTGCAAAACTAATGACAACAAGGTCGTTGTCAAGTTTTTAAAAGAGAACATTTTTGCACGGTTTGGAGTACCCCAAGCGATCATAAGTGACAACGGTACACATTTCTGTAACCATTCTTTTGAGGTTTTGATGAGGAAATATTCAATCATACACAAATTGTCAACTCCTTATCACCCTCAAACCAGTGGACAAGTAGAGGTCACAAACATGCAGATCAAACAAATCTTAAAAAACAGTTAATCATAACAAAAAAGATTGGTCTGTAAAATTATGTGATACTCTGTGGGCATATAGAACAGCTTTCAAGGCCAATTTAGGGATGTCACCATAGAGATTAGTGTTTGGGAAAGCTTGTCACCTACCAGTGGAGTTGAGCATCGAGCAATGTGGGCAATAAAACAGTTAAATTTTGACTCAGACTCAGCAGGTAAGAACAGATTACTCCCATCGAGCAATGTGGGCAATAAAACAGTTAAATTTTGACTCAGACTCAGCAGGTAAGAACAGATTACTCCAAATAAATGAGTTGGAAGAAATTCAAGTTAAATTTTGACTCAGACTCAGCAGGTAAGAACAGATTACTCCAAATAAATGAGTTGGAAGAAATTCAAAATGATACATACATAAATTCAAAATTTTACAAAGAGAAAAACCAAGATTTTTCATGACAAATCAATTTTACGAAAAAATTTCTCTCCATGACAAAAAATTTTATTGTACAATTCAAAATTGCATCTTTTTCCTGGAAAATTAAGATCAAGTTGGACAGGTCTATTTTTTGTCAAACAAGTTTCTTCGCATGGGGCTGTCGAGATAGAAAATCCTAAAAATGGTAACATTTTTAAAATAAATGGTCAACGTCTAAAACCATTTTTAGAATTTTCTACGCTCGGAGAGGAAGAGGTGTTGGTTCTTCATGAACCTCATTATCTGTAAAAAATAAAAAAATAAAAAAAATAAATAAATATATATATATATATATATAAATTTGAAAAAAAAATTATTACAATTTTTCTCTCTTATTTGGTTTCTTCATCCTCATACTAACAGTAATTGCAGATCCTTATCATCATTGTCGACCGAACAAATATAAGTTCTTCAATTCTTATCTGTTTTACTTTGTGCATCAGCGAATTTGCATTGAGGATAATGCAAAAATTAGGTGTGGGGGTGGGAAGTACATATTTTTCTCGTTATTTTATCCTTTTGTTGCATTTTTAACATAATTTTTGTTTAAAAAGTTAAAAAAATATAAAAATATTGTCACTTGCCAAATTAATAGAGTTAAGTAATAATTGATCTAATTGATAGACTTTAAAATTTCTAATTCCTAGTTAGTAATATACTCAAGTTCACCTTTTATGATAACTCCAAATAAGATTCTTAAGAAATGATTTTTCAACTAGTATACTTTACTTAAGTCTTACCTTAGACTTTTAATTACCAAAAAGAAAAAAAACTCTTAAATTCAAGGTGATTCTATCTTATAAAGCCTAAGTTGACTGAGTAATCACTACAACAAATTGCACTTTTCTGGACGCTTATTCTCGACGCATGTTTAAAAACGTCGCCAAAAAGTATGTTTTTCCCGACGATTTTAGTTAGCGTCGGCAAAATATATATTTTCCCCTATGTTTAAAATTAGCGTCGCAAAAAGTGGATATTATTTACGACATTTTAACTTAGCGTCGGCAAAAATGCATGGATTTCCTGATGTTTTTTTATTTTCATCGGTAAAAGTATAGATTTTAGCAACGCAAAAAGATTCGTTGCAAAAAAGTATACATTTAGCGACGCACGTTAGCGTCGGCAAAGGAGTAGCTTTTAGCGACGAAAAGTTTTTTATCACTAAAAGTAACACTTTTGCCGACACTATATTGCGTCGGCAAAAGTGTTACTTTTAGCGACGGGCAAAACTTTTCGTTGCAAAAATGTAACTTTTACCGACGCTTTCTAATGCAAATGCGTCGCCAAAAAAACCCCCCTCTTTTTTTCATTTCCCCGCTTACTTTCCCCCTCTTTTTTCATTTCCCTCTCCGTCTAAAACGGGCCAAACCCCCTCCCCCCCCCTCTCAACAAACCTCCCAAATCCTAAATCACAGATCCCCAAAACCCTGGTTCCCCAAATTCCCCTTCTCACCACCAAAATCCCTCGCCGCCCCCTCCTCCGCCTCATCTCCATCGCCTCTGGCGACACCACCGCCGTCGAGTCCCGAGACCAGAAGCTCAACCGGATCGCCGACGATCTCCTCGCCCTCACAAAGGCCGAGAGCGAAGACTACTCGACCCTCTTCACGTATCGACATACTGAAAGTATGGCTCGAACTTCTCCTGTCGCCGTCATTTCTTTCCTCCCAACCCTCGGTGAGATCTCAAAACACTAATTCTCTTTAGTTTTTCTCAGCGTCATTTGTCATTATCCGTTCATTTCTCCAAATTTTGATGTTTTGCTCACGATTTATGCTTTAATCTTTGCTTTTCTGAAGGAGCGAGGTGAGAAAAGGGGTTTTTTTTTAAAAAAGGAAACCCTAAGGGGGTACAGATCCAACAAGGACGATGAGGTTAGTGTCCATTGTACAGATCTGCATGAATTATTTCGATGTACATTTTAGAATTAGGATTTAATTCTCATAGTATTGTGGTGTACACTCTGTAATCTTGGCAACGTGAGAAACGCTAACGAGATTAGTGATGGGCATTAAGCTATTGAATTGGAATAATTGTTGATAAAATGACGGTTTAATACGCATAGAAATAAAGTAATCTGTTATGGGTATTGTTTTAAAATTGTTATTGATAAAATGACGGTTTAATACGCATAGAAATAAAGTAATCTGTTATGGGTATTGTTTTAAAATTGTTAAGTGAGAAAATGAAGTTGGTCTCTGTTGGAAATAAAGTAATCTGTTATGGGTATTGTTTTAAAATTGTTAAGTGAGAAAATGAAGTTGGTCTCTGTTGTTAGCTTTATTGTTATAAAGCAGGCTATCATATACAACACTCGAAACAACAGAGCCGTAAAATACTTTTACAATTCAAATAACCTAGTTTCGATATACTTCAACAATCTGAGCAACACGGTCTCCAGTAAAATACTTTTACAATTCAAATAACCTAGTTTCGATATACTTCAACAATCTGAGCAACACGGTCTCCAGGTTCCGGAACGGTCCAAACAATGTGGCTAGTTTCGATATACTTCAACAATCTGAGCAACACGGTCTCCAGGTTCCGGAACGGTCCAAACAATGTGGTCTTGAGATTTTAAGAAAAGGTCATCTGTGTTTTTTTTGAGAAATTCCTGGACCATTATAATGTTTTTTTCTTTTATTTAATTTCACGAAGTTGTTAATTGAAGAAAAGGTCTTCCAGAAAACATGCCATGGTTTTTCATTTTATGTGGCATTCTGCTTCAGGTTTACTTTGCAGTATGGGCAAACTTTATGGTACTTATGGCTGTAGTGTGTTGTTAACTGTATTATGCCATGATCATGTCATGCACAGTGGATTAATGTTATTCTTATCATTTTTAATTTGCAAATCTATTTGTTTTATTTTCATGGAGTGGTAGATAGATAGATAAGATGGCCTGAAGATTACTATTGTTTGCACTAGATAACAAAGCTTTGAAAAGTAACTTGTCATACCATGGGTCCATACCTCTCAGGATTATCCACATCTGGTGAGGAGTTTGTACTAGAAAAAATGCTTATTGATCACTGGATGAGCCCTATAATTATTTGGGTCATGTAGTAGCACTACTGGCCCACTTGTTTCTTATTCTTTAGTCTTTACAAAGATCTGATAAAGGGTATCTGTAACCTAATGCTTTTCATTTTCTCTTATTATAGTTGTGACTTTGTTATATGGCCTTCATCATCAAAGAATGTCCATTGAATTTGTCTATTGTCTAACTTCAGCAGCTAAAGTACCTTAGATGTTTGTTGGATTCTTCATCATCAAAGAATGTCCATTGAATTTGTCTATTGTCTAACTTCAGCAGCTAAAGTACCTTAGATGTTTGTTGGATTTGATGGAACATAGAAACAAAAAGAAGAAGCAAGGAGATGTTCTGGTTGGCACCTTAGGGGCCTATCTGTCCTTGGTACTAGCATCCATTGTCAGCGAAATTCCATTACATTGATTTGGCACCTTAGGGGCCTATCTGTCCTTGGTACTAGCATCCATTGTCAGCGAAATTCCATTACATTGATTTAAAAAGTTGATTTAGTTCCATCACCTGTACAGTTTTTTGTTGGAATATTTTGCTCCTATTTTCTATTCACTTTTGTTTGGTTAATTCTATTATGGTCTCTGAAAAGGCAATATGTCTCTTGCAGCAACTTATTTTAGCAGCAATTGATTTAGTTGATGCTAATTCAAAATCTGGAGGTTACATTGTTTTTTCAACATGCTCCATGATTCCTGAGGTTTGTTTGAATTTGAATTGGTTTCTTAAGATAATAAATGTGTAAAACCTGTGTGTGATTTTGACTTTCTTTTGTTTTTATACTCTAGATTGAGGCAGTCATTGACTATGCTCTCAAGAAGATAAATGTAAAACTTGTGACGTGTGGACTGGACTTTGGTCGCCCAGGATATGCTAACTCTCAACCTTCACCTTACTTCATCATCTAAGTCTGAATTTCTGAATTCTTTTTTTCTTGGTTGTCAGACTTGTGCATTATAGAGAGCAGAGTTTTCATCCCTCCTTAGAGAAAATAAGGCGTTTTTATCCCCACGTGTATAACATGGATGGTTTTTTTGTTGCTAAGGTAACCGTTTGTTCAGAACTATTTGTAGATATTTTTTTTCTTTTCTTTTCTTAATAGCACATGCATGATATTTAATAGATGTGAATCATGTTCTGATGATAGTGAACACTTGAGTTCGATTGGTTCCCGATAGCATATTTTCCCCCCTTTAATTCCATGCCGATGAAATACTCTGTAGCATCTTATGTTATTTTGAATAATTATTTGAAAATCAGTGGTATCACGATCCTCAAAACTTAGCATATGATCTTCATCAAGTAATATTACAGTCATTTATCTTTATGTTACGTGGAACCTAGTTGGGAATAGTGCTTGCAAATGCTTTCATGCTTTACAATTTAGTACTCTCTCAAATCTTTCTACAGTTAAAGAAGATGAGTAATACGAAACTAGCAGTATCTGAGCCTTCTAAACAAGCAGATAAGATGGAACAAGCAGAAGTTATTGATGATAGTAAGGATGCTCAAATGAACAACCCAAATGGAGAAGTTGCAAGTAAAGGAAAAAAGAGAGGAAAAAGGAAAACACCAGGGTGCTGGAAAAAAAGACGGGAAGGTACTATTGTGCTTGATCACGTTATACATTTTCTATTCTCTATAAACTCTGCTGATTGTTGATAATTTAGGATTGAAGTTTAACTATTTTATTAAAACAGTCGACAATTGAAGTAGGCAAGCAATTCAGAACCAGCAAGAAGTGAATCCTTGGCTCTACCAGAAAAGAGAAAAGCAACAGCAGTTCATGATGATGGCGATATCACCAAAAATATCCCCAACAAGAAAATCAGCAAGCGTAAATTCTGGAAAAGGGTAGGCGACCTAGGGATAGTGATAATAAGAGCGTTGCAGGAAATAATGGAAGGGAAATACCTTCATCAACAGTCGGATCAAAAATGAAACGGAAGTTCCCTTCAAGAGAGGAGGGAATTTTACAAGCTAGGTGAGCCTTTTAACGTCTTAAGCCACCATTTTTAGGAAAAATAAATGGTTGTTTGGATTGACAACTTGTCTTTTCTAAAATAACAATTTGTCATTATGGTATTTCTTTCACTACAACAAATTGCATTTTTCCCAACGCTTGTCTGTGATTCTAGTCCTTCCGCTTCTTCATAATAGGGAGATAGATCACTGATATTATAAGTAGCAGACACACCATAGTCTTAAGGAAGCTCTATCATGTAAGCTTTATCATTGATGCGCTTTAAAACTTATTATCTTCTTCTCTATTCTCATTGTTGTGCTCTAAGAATTGTCCTAATTACATAGACCAATGATTGGCCAATGTACCTACATCATTGTATACTTAGATCTGCAATTAATTTTTATTACCAACTGACCATCATATAATTAGAAATTCTAAAATGGTGTATTTGAAATCGTGTCTGTAGGATTTACATGTATTTGCATCAGGGATCTTTTGTGAAATTTTTACACTCCGCATATATTCACGACTATTTTTTATGCTGCTTTATTCTTGTTATGCAGGAACTTGGATTTGATTATCTTGAAAGCAGAGAGCAACTTGTCATGAGGTTACAAGCAAATTGAAATATTTAAACAGTTGTTCCCTTCTTTCTTTTCTTTCACCTTTTCCTCTCGGCAAATCGTGTTTCTTTTTTCCTTTATGGATTACAAGCAAACTGGAATATTTAAACAGGCATTTGAGTTGACTTGGAAATGGAAATGAATGTAACTAATTTGTAATGGGAGAAAATTCTTTGTTTATCATAATATGCAACATGTTTGGAGTATAATTTGATGTTTAGTTTCTTTGTTGATGTGAATGTGTGCAATTTTTTTGTGGATGTCAAGTTCAGTGTAGGCTTGTAGTTGACAGAAAAGATAATTATCCTTTGCAAAAAATTATACCTTTATCGACGTTAAATTGCGTCACTAAATTTTTAACTTTTAGCGACGTACTAAATTGTGTCACTAAAAGTAACACTTTTGCCGACGTTATATTGTGTCGCCAAAAGTAATATATTTTAGCGACATTATCTTACGTCGCCAAAGATATAGTTTTTAGCGACGCTTTATTCTGCGTCGCTAAAAGCTACATTTTTGTCGGCTAACTTGCATCGCTAAAAGTATAATTTTTAGCGACGAACAGTTTTGTGTTACTAAAAGCTATGTTTTTGCCGACGTTTTGGTTTTTGCCAACGCAGCATGCATCGCCAAAAGTACTACTATTGTCGACGCACCCTTACATTTGAGAAAATTTTGCATACCTTTTGCCGACGCAAAATATTATGCGTCGCTAAAAGATGTACTTTTCCCGACGCATGAAGCGTCGCCAAAAGTGTTGATTTTTACCAACGCAGGTTGTTTTGCGTCGCCAAATACTTTCCTTGACGCACTTTTGGCGACGCGTTAGCGACGCTGCATTTTTTGTCGGGAAAGATTTTTCCCGACATTTTTTAAACTTTTGCCAACGTTTTTGTTTCGTCGGAAATGCTGTATTTTGTTATAGTGAATTAAGCCCAAGGAGTATCTCTATACTTAATGATCTAAACCCAATTGGGTTAGGATTCATTGGCCCAAAAATAGTTAAATGGTCACTTAGAAAGCCCGTTAAAATAGAAAACAATCACCAAGAATTAGAGTGTGAAGAAAAAAATAATAATATATATAACAAACACTAACCTATATATATATATATTGTTATTTTGTATATATGGTCTTGAAAAATAATTTTTGATCAAGAGACTTGCTTGAAAGTTATTTAAAACAAAGAGTTAGCATGTTCTTTTCAAACGTTTTAAATTAAATCTCTAAGATTTGACTTGGTTTTGTATTGCTATAATGAAAAAGATTTTCTAAGGCCTTGTTTGGCAAAGGGTTAAGAAAGAGGGGTTAAATAGAAGGATTAATGTACTTATCTCATTCAATAATCTAAATGACTAAATTATTAACCCGTTAAATAAGTTTTATTTTAGCCCTTGTGATCAGTTTTAGTGTTTGAGAATAACAGTGATTTTGACTATTTTTTTATAATTAGAAGGGTTAATTCTTAATCCTTCTAAATAGGAGTATTAGTAAACCCCTCATTTTGAGGGGTTAACTCATTTTAATCCCTCTAGAGGGGTTAGCTTAACCCTTCTATATTTTTTATGTTTGGCAAATTATAGAGAGTTAACTCACTTTAACCCTTGTATAGATTTTTTGTGTTTGGCGGGTTAAGAAGGGGTTAAGTCACCTTAACTCCTCACTTAACCCTTTGCCAAACGGTACCTAAGAGATTTACATTGGAGTTATATATAAAAGCGTTCTCTTGATTATTAACTAGCTTCAATTAGAATGTCTAAATATATCAAAGAAAATTAGTTATTTACTGACTTATTTAACTTGACAAGTTGACCGAATTTTGTAGGTATATTCACTGTAAACCCTCACGAGACTACAACTCATCCACTAGGGTAACCTAAGGGTTTAAAGGCTTGTTGTATGCGCTAAATACAACCGCGATTCCTACGAAAGTGAGTTAGGATGTTCTTTTTATTTTCTTTGCTAGAGGACTAGCAAAAGTTTAGGTATGGGGGTATTTAATAATCACATTTTATTATAATTTTATACCCTCATTATCTATTTTATATGAATAAATATACCACTAATAATTTTTTTTTATCTTTAATTACAGGTTAATGAAGAATAAATCTCAAAACTCTCATCTCTCAACAAAAACCCCTTGAATAAATGAAGAAATGAAGCAAAGAAGCCCATTGGAAAATAAAAATTGTTAATTTATCCAAAAGCCCAAAATCAAAATAATGAAGCATGAAGAAATGAAGAAAAGCTCAAAGGGAAATCAAGAAGCCCAATGGGAATTCAAGAAGCCAAAGTGAAAAACCAAACCAAAAGCCCAAGCCCAAAAGAACAAGAGCTAGCTTCGGACAATAACCAGAAGAAGGTCCACATCGATGCCAGCATCGATGCCCGTATCGATGCCAGCATCGATACCCCTATCGATGCTGGCATCGATACTAATCCAAGAGCTTTCATTCACTGATGTTTACTATAAATAGGGGTAGAGAGTGAGGGGTTAGAGGTGTGAAAATTTTTGTAACTCCATTTGGAGAGGAGGGCCACTCTTAATTGAGAATACCTTCCAAATTTGTAACTTTTGTTACAATTAATAAAATAATTTTTTTCACCACTTTAAATATTTCTTCTCTTTGTTGAATGATGAAGATGGAGATGAAGAATTATTTGGAGGTTTGCATTTCTTTTTCTCTTTTATTTTTTTATTGCTTATTAGTTTAGATTTATTTCTATGTTTGTAGTTAGATTTTATTTTTAAATAACCAAGAGGCTAGAACCATCTTGCCTTAGATTTATTTCATGCTTATAGATTAGATTTATTTTATGCTTATAGAGTAGATTTATTTTCTTGTATTTAATTCTTGTAATTTATTTTGTAGTTTAGATTTTGTAATTTATTTTGTAGTTAGATTTTAATTTCTTGCACTATTCACCTTGAGGCTAGAACTCTCTTGGGTTTTTTTTTTTGTTTATTTTCATTTTCTTTGATTCGTCTTTAGACTAGAACCCTCTAGGAAATCGCCATTTTCTAAGAAGTGGGTTCAATTTTAGATTACCCATATCTTTAATTGAATCCACCATCTTTACTTTCTTGAATTTTAATTTTTCATTCTTGATTTTTATTAGTTCTTGATTTTTTTCTTTATGCCTTGTTGATCACATTTATATTATCACTTCCACTCTCAAATATATTCATTTACACAATCATTCTCTCCATCTCTCCACAATCACATTCACTCATCACTCCTATTTGTCACGCACACAACATAAGAACCGATTTTATATTTTCTCCTACAAAGCACCTTCCTCGTGGGATAGATAACTTTTTATACTATAACTTGACACGGTTGTGCACTTACAATATTTTTTGTACATGTTTATGTCGCATCAACTGTGTACCTGGTGTGATACGCCTCATCAAATAGGTCTTTCTTTAGCTATGGATTTCCTGGTATCACTAATCGGCCATTCATTCTAAGACCTCCATCTGCTACAATGGTCCAATCAGCCTTGGGCTCTTTGAAAATCTCCCCCTTTCGGGTTTGAATCTAAGAGTCCTCTAGCTGAGCTTTGACCACTCTATCAGTCCAAGATGGTTGCACGGACAAAGCTCCCTAAATGCGCTACTCCCTCCAATATCCGGCCTAAAATCAAACTGACTAAGAGTGTAAAGATCTCGATACCACGAGCACCTCAAAGCTAAAATCCGATGTCGATGCTTCCTGCTTAATGCGTCCGCTACGACATTTGCCTTCCTCGTATGGTACTGAATTACAAACTTGTAATCTTTAATAAACTCGACTCATCGCTGTTGTCTCTGGTTGAGTTCCTTCTGAGAAAAGAGGTACTTTAAGCTCTGGTGATTCGTGAATAGCTCGAACTGCACTCTATAAAGATAGTGTATCCAAGTCTTTAATGCAAAGACCACTGCTGCTAGCTCCAAGTCATGTGTGGGATAGTTCTGATTATGCATCCTCATCTGCCACGAAATGTAAGCCACAACTCTCTGGGTCTGCATCAAAACACCTCCTAGACCCGATAATGATGCATCCATGTAGACGATAAAGGTCTTATCATTGCTCAGGATAATCAATATCGACATTGTATTCAACTTATCCTTCAAGGTCTCAAAAGCTTCCTGACACTCCGTGCTCCAAACAAACTATACACCCTTCTTCGTAAGGCGTGTAAGTGGTGTCATAATTTTCGAGAAGTCCTGAATGAACTTCCTGTAATAGCCGGCCAAACCTAAGAATCTACAAATCTTTCTAACGGTCTTCGGCGGCTCCCAATTAAGTATTGTCTCAATTTTTGCTGGATCTACTGCAATGCCCTCCTTGCTGATGACGTGGCCTAAAAATCTAACCTCAAATACCCAAAACTCGTACTTGTTTAACTTAGCGTACAACTGATGCTCCCACAAAGTCTGCAATGCTAATCAAAGATGTTACTTGTGCTCTGCCTCCGATCTCGAATAGATAAGGATGTCGTCGATGAATATGATCACAAACTGGTCCAAATATGAACAAAAAACCCAATTCACCAAATCCATGAATACCGCAAGTATATTGGTCAGCCCAAATGGCATGATAAGAAACTCGAAAGACCCATATCGTGTCAGAAAGGTGGTTTTGAGAATATTCATCTCCCGAACTCACAAGTGATGATAGCCAAAATAAAGATCAATCTTTAAGAAGTACTGCACTCTCTGTAGCTGGTCGAATAAGTCATCAATCCTTAGTAGTGGATAATTGTTCTGGATAGTAGCCTTATTAAACTCACGATAATCTATACATAAGCATACTACCGTCCTTCTTCTTCACGAAGAGAACTGGCGCTCCCCACGAAGAAGGACTCCGACGAATGAAATCCTAAGACAAAAGATCATCCAGCTTAGTCCGTAGCTCCCTTATCTCAGTAGGTACCATACGATAGGGTGCTTGCGATATCAGTGTTGTGCCCAGCTATAACTCGAAGCAGAACTCAACCTCTTTCACAGGAGGTAACCCATATATGTCTTGAAAGACATCCTGATACTCTGAGATAACTCTAGTATCACATAAATCGGAACTATAATCCGTCAACATCACCTCCTCGATGTACGCCAGGAATGACTCCGCAAACTGGTTTTCCTGTGAGGTTGCTACAATCAACTCAGAACCATCAAACGCTCGCAAGCTGATTGTTTTAGTAAAACAGTCGATACTGACATGGTAGGATGATAGC